AGAGGTTAAACACTTTGGTAGAATAGAAGGTGCAGGGACACTTTGGTGCTTACTTATTGGACCACAACCCCTTTCAGGGGATCGATGTCCTTGATATGTTCTGGAATGGTGTATAGTACCAATAGCCTCCCCATTTTGAAACATATACATTGAACTGTGGAGTGAGTGAAGAGTCTAGATGTGTGAAGCTATTCTAATTGTGGCATACTTCTCTTCCTTTGTCTGTAAGCATCTCTTCCCTTCCTGTACTCGGTTCTCCAGCATAAGGACATGAATACCCAGACACACAGACACACACAGAGAGAATCTGGTACCCACATACACAAATGTACAGACATACAAACACAGACACACACACAGAATCTGATACATACAGACAGAAACACTGGTAAACACAGATAAGCACAGACACACACACACACACACACACACACACACACACACACACACACACAATTGCCTGTGTATTTCTTTCTTGAAAACTTTAAGTCCTTGATGTGTGTACCTTTATTTTCCCCCAGCCACATGACCAGAACAGGCACCTCATATGTACTTCCTCACATCCCTGTGAGTTGGACTGGCTGCTAACTGTGAGTTCAGGGGTTCTTGTTCTTCTGTGGCTGTCCTCTGGGCAGTTACAAACCTGGAACCCACATCCTCACTCCAGTGAAATCAAGTAAGCAGGACCTCACCTGCTCCACAGGGCTTCTGCCTCACTCTAAGTCCTGTGCTGTGATCAGGCCTCTGCCTCCTTGCTTTGCTAGCCAAAACCTCTCCTGCTGTGAGCAGGCACCCTCTCTAACCTGAGTGAGCATCCTGAGTAAGCCTCCCTCCGGTGCTGACTCCCCTCTCCTGCTGATTCCCACCTGGCTCGCTCCAGTCCCTCCCAAGGTGGGCCTCCTCCTTCCGGTTGCTGGCAGCCTCAGCAATCCTAGGCAGCACTATGGGCACACCCTCTTTGGGAATATTAGTCACTTGAATTGCCTTCTGAACCAAGTCCACAACTCTCAGCCCAGAGCTCAACATACTGTATCTTGCAACTGCTCTCCAGCTTATCTGTTTAATTCAATTCGCTCCCTCCCCACCTCTTAGTAGATGAGTTAATAAGTGAACAAGGAGAGGGCTTCACATTCTCATGCCATTCCCCTCACCTTTCAAATGAAAAGAGTAGGGCTCAGCCAACTAAGTCCTCTTGTCCTAAATGACCCAGGGTGCTTAGTTTCCTTATGGTAGCTCGGTGGCTGGCTGACTCAACAGAAGTTGATGCTTTTGCAGTTCTGGAGGCTAGAACCTAAGTCACTGTCTTTAGGGTCGCACCCTCTGTGAAGTCTTTAAGGGAGACCCCTTCCTTGGCTTTTCCAGCTTTGGTGGCCTTAAGTGTTCCTCAGAGGTGTAACTGCATTGCAACTCCATTGCTTCAACCCCCACATGGCCATCTTCTATGAGTCTTTGTGACCAGGACACTTGCTTTCCTCTCTCCTCTCTCTCTACTTTCTCTCCTTCTACCTCTCTCTTCTCTCCTTTCCTCTCTTTCCCTTTCTCAGCTTATGAAAGGCCCACTTTAAATCCGGGATGGCTACATCTCAAGATTCTTAACTCATAACATTTCCAAAGGCCCTACTTCCCAACAAGGTCACATTTTGAGGTTTGAGTAGACTAATGAACTTGGGAGAAAAACATTATTTAAATCAACGCCTGCAAGAATTTGGAAGTAGGTTTATCTGACTCACACCTCAGTGAAATCACTGTATACTTGAAAGCTCCTTGCCAAATTGAACTTCTCATGTTTCTAAACACTTATCTCTCTTTTCTGTCTTTCTATGCAGTTTCCTTACTATGCTAGTTTCTTTATGCAAACGAATCCTTCCTGTTTTCTTATCTTCACCAACCCCAGTTGTAGAAATCTTGAGCAGTTTTCAACACTGAACTGAAAGCCTCTTTCTCTGAGAAGATATCTGTGATTGTACCACCCAGAAAAAAAACTCCCACCCCCCTGCCTCCCCCACACACTCCAACTGCCTTACTCCCATCTTGGACAGTTGTTTTCTTCCGCATCACACAGCAGGCTCTTGTGCAGTTGTCTTCATACACCATCCTGCCCCCTTCCTGCTGTTAGGAACCACACCATATGCAAAGCTGCTGTCCCACCCTGTGTTTGTCACAGCACCTTGCATAAGCAGGAACTCCAATGGGACCGGGACTGACTGAATTTATCTATTTATTTATTTGGACTAGGTCTCACTCTGTAGCCCAGGCTTGCTTCCAACTCATGATCTTCCTGCCTCAGCCTCCCAATGCTAGGATTCTAAGCCTGTACCACCACACCTGGCTTTTAACCAAGTGATTTTTTTTTTTTTTTTTTTTTGGTCTTTTTGAAACAGGGTCTCCCTGTAGCTGCCTGGAACTCACTGTGTAGACCAGGCTGGCCCTGAACTCACAGAGATCCACCTGCCTCTGCCTCCCAAATGCTGGGATTAGAGGCAGGTGCCACCACATCCGGCTAACCAAATGAATTCTTAATGGCCTGCCTCTTTCCCTGCACTGAATGGCTCCTGTATTGGTAAGCAAAAATGTAGGCTGCACTAAAAACTAACCTTTCTCCAATGTCCCACTTCCCTCAAAGGGAATTTTTTTAAAGTCCAGGTTACTTGTTGAAATCTATTCAAATCATTTTCAGAATTTTCCCTTCACTTGGATTTTATCTAATGGACGCAAATACAGTCCCTTCCACATATAATACCCTCACGTTTTGTTTTATTTTCTTCCTATTCCAATGAACCTTCTCTGGCCATTGGGGACAGTTAGATTTACTGCTCTCAGGGTTTCTGAGGACAAGGACAATTCTTAGTCATCATTATTGTCCCAGCACCCAGTGGTGCCTGGGCATGTGATAACGTTGAAGGGCATGTGAGTAAGAGAAGAGGCTGCACTGGAGAGGGAGAAACACAGCTCTCCCTGGGGGGTAGCAGCCTACTGTGCACCTCACTAAACCCCATGAGACAGGTAGTTACGATCTCAATATTACAGATGGGAAACTGAGGCTGGAACAGAATAGGTAACATCACTCCAGGTTGAGACCCAGGTAATGCTCTGTAACTGCAACACAGCCGGTGTTGCCTAGCCTGGGTCAAGCTACAAGCCCTGATAACACAGGCCATGCCCCTGAACTAGGCGTTTGGCTAAGGAAATCCAAAAGAGTTAATGAGGAAGATTGAATCTAAGAATAGAGCATAATATTTAAAAATTCATATACACAGTGTTATATATATATATATTATATATATAGTGCTGTATTTACAGGATGTATATACAAAGTATGTATGTGCATGTATGTGTGTGTGTGTGTGATGTGTGTGCTATGTTCAAGGTTCATATACAGGCATTTGTGTTCTCTCTGTGCATGTCTCTATGTGTGTACATGTGTGTATGTATGTTGCAAGGAATAACACATGAGGATAAAAAGGCTGGTTATCAGAAACCAGCTTTGGAGACTGGAATAGGCAAAAGAGTGAGAATCACATTTTGACTCTGGTCCTGGCCCATCCATTCAACATCTGAACAAACCTGAACAATTCACTATCCCACTGAACTGCGAACTGGTTTGTTGTGAAATGATACTGTCACCCTCCCAGAGCCACTGGAAGATCGGAGAAAGTCAAGGAAAAAATAGTTATGAAAGTCCCAATCCATACAGGATGCTGCACTTAAAAGCAGAAGAGTCAAAGGGGCAAGACAGAGTGGTCTCTTATTTGAAGAAGTTTCCATGTGGCCTGAGGATACAGACATCAAAAGACAGCTCTAAGCCATGCAGAATGAAAGATGTACAGTGATGAGCACACATGCTGCCTGAGCTCTTCACTGCACAACACAAGCAGATGTTAGTCTCACAACCATCTCACAAAGAAGGCATCGTCAGCAACCCCATTTTGCAGATGAGAAAACTGATGACTAGAAACCTTTGCTCTTTGCTCCCTTGGGATTGTTTGGCATCGTCCATGTTATCAGGGCTCGTAGTTTGACCCAGGCTGGACAACACTAGTTGCATTGCAATTTCAGAGGTTTTCTGGTTAAGAGCTCTTGAGTCAGACATTACCTGGGTTTCAACTTAGAGTGACATTCCCCATGAACCACACTGTGATTCATTTGCATGGTAGAACCAAGGTTCATCCCAGGCCTGTGCAACCCGAATCTTTACTACTAACTCCTTTTCCAATTTCCTTGAGCAATTCAAAGACACAAAGTGCATACCAGTGGAACCTTTGCCCTCAACTTGGAAAAGAAGCAACCAACAAATCAGGGGAGCCACCTTTGAAAAGTACAGAAGCTTGAGACAATGTGTGAGATCCCATATGTGTGTGCTATTAGTGTCTGACTACAAACTCAGAAAGATGAGGATGCAGAGGAGCCAGAGGACAGAATGAGGGGGTTCTGTTCCAGCAAAAGGCCACACACTGCCCTTGCAGAGGTGCCCTGTGATTAACATAAAGCCATCTTAGTGACAGAAAATTGGTTTATGCTTTGCCTGGATAGATATCAGGCCAAAACTCACTCATCCATCCCCTTACACACACACACACACACACACACACACACACACACACATACACACACACACACACAATTTTTTAATTCCCCCCAAATGCTTTAGTGAAGCTTAAAGTCATGAGCCTTTAGGGGACAAAGCAAGGCCCATCTGTTCAGTCAGGAATTTGCCAGACCAAAGTAAAAGGTCAATCAGCTTTGACTATAACTCAGCTTTAAATGACCCCAAATACTTCCCAACTCAATCAGCCAAAAATAACTGCATTACTGTGACCCAAGTTTCCAAAGGACAGAGGTCAGAGAATCTCTTATAAACAGCAGATAAATACTGAGCCACCATTAATTACAGAAGAAACAGTGTCTGTCCCTTTGGAACACATCTTATTCAAAAAGCCATACAAAAATAATCATATTCACCTTATTCGGGGAGGAAAACAGAATGCCTTCCTTTTCAAAAATTTTATTTTTTTTATTATAAGACATATAGGTAAAAACTTGTATGTTTTGAAAAAGATAGAAAAGGTAATAAAATGGATATTTTTCTCATTAAGAAATATGTTCATAAATATGCTTTATCAAATGTTAAAATGGTTATTTTGCAAAATAATAATAAATAGAACGAAGCTGTGGCGTACAAGAACCAACCCAAAGAATGGGAAGTTTTTATGCTTTACAAAAATTCAGGCTTTTGATTATGTTGAAAATATAATCATTTTGCATTCCAAGTTATCAGTAATTCAGATTTTTAAAAAAATATTCTTTGATAGCTCAAAGGCAATGAAACATGAAGGACGGTGTGACTAATCAAAATGTGGGGAGAATAGTTTCCTCTAAATAAAAACCTGTAAGACACATAAGTAAACAATTTTTTTAACTTATAAGTGGTACACGTATTAGTTTCTAAGTCTACAAATCTCTGTGGTCTTTAAACAAAAACTGTTAATACACTTTAGTTTCCAGCAAGTTCCATCACTTCTTTTCACAGTTTGATGGAGCAGTAATCGTCACGATTGTAACGGGGCCAGTTCTACACCTGCAGCTCCATGGAGATAAGGTACACAGACAGCTCTCCTCCTTTGAATATACTGACAGTTTTCCTAGGTTTCTTTATGACTCAACGGCCTCCAATTCCCATAGAAAAACACTGGGTAAAACATTAATGCTGAGGCAATCCTGTTCTGGACGTTCTTCATTAACTTCAATATTCTGCAGCCCAAAAAAGAGAAAAACCTTATGTGAACCCCCGAACATGAAATGAGTGTTAGATGTCCGCATAGCAAGGTCAAGCTTTTCCTGTAGATAAATATCGTCTCGACAAAGATCGTTCATTTCCCATGCATTTTGTTACCCATGAGGCTAACATATTGGTTCCCATTTGCAACGGGGAAAGCCACATCTAAGGATACTTAAGTATTCAATCTAATATAGATTATTAGTATTAGTCCCAAAGGCCTGCAGTGATGTCCATCAGGGGGACATCTGGATGACCCCGGGTGCCTAGAGCACAGAGAGGTCATGGCAGGATTTCGACTTGAGTTTGAAGGCCATGTTCTTGTTGTTTTTGGCCACGATCTTGCCCCAGAAGCGCCTGGCTTTCCTGGGGATGCTCTCCCGTCTTTTCTGGTAGGCCAGCCTCTGCTCGTTCTTTTCCTTGCTGTCCCGACGCAGGCGGACCTGACGCACGATGCCCTCAAACAGCTCTTTCACATTGTGCTGCACAGCTGCAGAGGTCTCAATGAACTTGCAGTCAAACACCACAGCACATGCTCTCCCTTCTGAAAAGGAAAGAGGAGAAGAAAGTCAGAAGGGTTGCGGAGTCTGGTCGATCCTGTACAGCACTCTGCCAAGGTGGAGGACTTCTGTCTAGAACTGCCCTCAGAGGAACACAATGGCAGTAGGCTGTGTTATGGGTAGAGGGAGCCCCCATCCTATGGGAGAATCTCCAGAAGCAGGAGAGAGGAGCTTTAGATCCAGTCTACCACAAATTCAGTACTGAAGGTCCCATTTCAGCAATTGGAATGACATTCATCACAACAGCAAAAGCCATAACCTTAACTTACTACAGCTTTGCTATGTGCCTTAGCTTAGGCTAATATTTTCCACAGCTTATAACTGTCTTGGAAAACATCAATATCCTCATCAGATAAAGAAATTAAGTAAAATCTTTTAAAAACTTGAAGTAATTCACATAGTTGACAATGACCGGAAATCCAATCCAAACTTCTCCTGACTCAGTTTCCCACACTGAAAGCTGTAATTCTATTACTTATATTTCCTTTCTTTAAAAAATGTGATGAGATCGTTTGAGAAAAAATAAAGATGATTTTAAAAATATATAATAAATCACATCAGACTATTCAAGCTTTCCTAAAACACACTCAGTTTCAACTATTTCACTGTGTTTAATAACCACATGTCCAAGTTTTGGTTTGGATATATCTGAACACTGTGGACAGTCATGTCCTAGTAAAAAGACATTTCTACTAGTTGGGTGCATGGTCTGGACTAGATTTCTTTTCCACTGAACAGGGACTAATAATTTTTACAGTTGTACTAAAAACCAAATCTGCATTAAGCCAGTACAATCTCAAGGGCCCTAAAAGAATATGGGTGCCCACTCAGCAAATAGGAATTATCCTGGAACTGAGTATGAAAAAAGTATGTGTGGTCCCATCAGACTGATGCCCTAATAGAAATTTAGGAAGCAAGGGTTTTGAAGAAACACCAAAAACCAGAGTATAAATAATTCTTTTCTTTTTAAAACACTCTCCTACAGTTCCCCTAGCCCAGAGTTCCTTGTCTTTGCATTAAGATGCTACTTTTCCTTCCCTAACTAAGGATCTTCTTGGAGGACAAAAGGACAAAGATGGAGGACTGCCAGTAAATTCCTGAGGATGATCTCTTCCCTGAAGATATTCCAGAACACCCAAAAGGCAGTGGGGTGACTGGAATCCTAAAGGGAGAACAGAGAAAAAGGAGCAGAACCAGCAGAGAGATGGTTGACATGAAGGATGGACCCATGGGAATCTTGAACATACAACTCCACGTAGCATCTCACTGAGCCTGATTGCAGCTTTGGGAGAAAAGGGAAGAGCAGGCAGGTATATGTGATGCAGGACTGGTACCCAAGCCTGAGAACCCTCTTACCTGACACAGACACTTCACGACACCGCACTAAATCACTTTTGTTGCCAACCAAAATGATAGGAATGTCTTCTGTCTGCCGGGCCCTGCGGAGCTGGATTCTCAGCTCAGATGCCTTCTCAAAGCTTGCTCGGTCTGTGATGGAGTAGACAATCAGGTAGGCATCCCCAACTTGCATGCAGTGGTCCTGCAGCCATTCATTCTCCCCCTAATGAAATAAGAAGACCTTCCATGATCTCAGGAAAATGAGATGTCATTTTGGGGGGAAAAAAAAAAAAAACCTATGTGTATCCTAAATAATAGGAAGGAAGAAAACTGCTTCCAACACCCCGAAGTGCATCTTCCAAGATGTCTGGGGGCTGCAAAGATGGACAGTCTGTATTGTATTAATACCAAAAAGCCTACTTTCTTCTACAGCTTGAGTTGATAAGTTACATAACTACTCTGAAAAATACTATATCCAATTTCAATCTAACCTACCAAACATGGGCCTTTTCTGACTTCCCAGAAACTTCCTTTGCCTTTGTAATAGAATGGAATTAAGAATCCTTTTGTGAGAATAAAAGGGCTCTCAATAAACAGAAGATCTCATGTAGATGCTGAGAAGCCCAAAACCTTTAAAAAGCCATGTTGAAGCTCAGTATTGAAAAGGTCAAGTTCACACAAGATGGCTTTGCATAGCTGAAAATAAGTGGTTATGCTTGTTTGAATTTTCCCTAGAACAATTATGCCTTTGGTGGTTTTTAATAGAACTAAGGGAAAACCACTACAACTTGTTTATTATTCAGAGCTCATCTGTGAATGACCTGTTCCTTAAAACAGTCTCATTCTTCAAAAGTAAATGCTTTTAATCAAGAAATGAGCCCACCTCGTCTGAAACAGCTGCTATGTAGGACAAGGTCACATGCACATGAGCAGCCTTTGAAAGACAAGCCCTAACAGAACATGCTGACAGCTACAGGCTCTTCATACCTTGTTTTCCCACATGTCCAGGAGGATAATCGTTGCACTCTCTCCATCAACAATCAGGGTGCGCTCATATGTGTCTTCTAGAAAAGAAGCAACATCAATACTGGAGTCAGTGAACATGAAACGTAAGAGGGTCAGGTCAAAAGTCACACTAGAAAATATAATCAATGAGACATGGGGAGATGGTTCAGTCATTCGATTGCTATAAACGCACAAGACCTGAGTTCAACCCCCAGAACCCACATAAAAAGCCAGGCATGACGGTATACACTTGTAATCCTTGCTTTGGGAAGATAGAAATAGGTGAGTACCCAGGGCTCGCTGGCCAGTCAACCTAGCCTACTCAGCTAGCTCCAAAACCACTAGAGACCCTATCTCACAAAACAAAATGGATAGTTCCAGAGGAACAATATCCACGGTTGACTTCTAGCCTCCATTCACACACACACACTCACATACATGTATATATGCACATAAACATACATGCTCCCAAATGCTCATGCACCCCATACACATACATACACACAAATATATACTTAGTGAATATACAACAATGTATGTAAATATACAGCTGTTGCAAAAATACATGACCATTGTAAGGGTTAGGGAGTTGGCTCAGTTGAGAAAATGCTTGCTATGCAAGCATGAAGACCTGAATTTGGATCCCCAGCACACATGTACGAGTCAGGGGTGGTGCCACGTGTTTGTGATCCTTATGTGGGGGGAGGGGCAGAGATAAGAGGATCCCTGGAGCTCACTGGCCAGCCAGTCTAGCTGAATTGGTGAGGTCCAGATTCAGTGGGAGACCCTATCTCAAATAAATATGGTGCAGAGTGACTGAGGAAGACACTCATCAACCTCTGGCCTCTTTGAGTGCCTGCACATACATACTACCATCATATCACCTTCAACATGTGGCACACAGTTCTCCAGTATTACTAAGCAGATCTCCTGTAGCTCTCACATGTATGTAGCAAAATCACTTGAATTAAAAGGCAATCATTGGGGCTGGAGAGATTGCTCAGTGGTTAAGAGCACTGGCTGCTCTTACAGAGGACCCGGGTTCGGTTCCCAGCACCCACATGGTGGCTAACAACTATCTGTAACTCCGGTTCCGGGGAATCTGACACCCTCTTCTGACCTCCATTGGCATTTTACAACATGGCTGCACTTACATGCAGGCAATACATGCATACACATAAAAAGTTAAAATAACAAAATATTTTAAAAAGTCAGTTATTTTCATCATTCTTGGGCCTTTTATGGAGGAACACCATTTATAAGGATAAAGTCACTGAGAACTTTTGACTCATATCCAATGGATGAAGCTATGAGAAAACATTAACTATAACTCCATTATGGGATAATATTAACTGTAAGCCCTATTTTCATAATCTGTATGCAGAAATCAATTGTACATTTCAGTGGGTGATTCCTGAGCATTCACTGGCAACTCAGAAACATTTCTCCTCTTTGGAGAAGTACAAGAAAAATATCTTGAGATTATCCCTGTTTATGACATAGTTTTTTCCCACACCTCTGTGCTAGTTTTGTTTCATTTCATTCTGTGACAAGGTCTCACTAGTAACTCTGGCTAGCCTAAAACTTACAATGTGGTCAGGCTGGCATGGAACTTGCAATGATTATCCTGCCTCTGCCTCCCAAGTACTGGGATTACAGGAGTGTGACACACCAATAAATAAATAAATAAATAAATAAATAAATAAATAAATAGGCATTCCCTAGCACTAAGCGATGTGTGTTTTCAGCTCCACTTGGTAATAGAAACTTTCTTCTGCACATGAGCCCAGGTTGGCTAAAGGTGAGGGATGAGCACAGGTGCCCTGGGACAGATCCGCTCCATTTGGAAAAACACTTGTCTGGGGCTGGAGAGGTGAGTTGTGCTGGGATTTTTGCAAGAGGGTTCCCTATGGATCCCATACAATGATTCCATACCTGCTTCTTGTTTTGAAGTCTATCTTTTGAAAATTATGACTTTCACGATTTATCATGTTTCTTATTGGCCATTATGCCTGAAACCTCTCCCTCTGGGTATCTGCAAGGCTTGTCCCCTTCTGGGGGAGGTGCTCCCTGGCTATGGATTTGAAATTGCAGCAGAATTCCATACCGCTTTTCCTGCTCCGTGCCTCTCGGCATGTCTTGTTCTCTAGCATGCAGCACATGCCACTTGCTCACTCTATGCTATTTCCCCCTCCCCGGGCAGAGGTTTGCACCTGTTCTGTTTTCTGTACCCCCTGGAACTCATGACATTCCTGGTACATTGTGGGTGTTCAATATAAATCTGTGCACTGAATGAAAGAGTGACAAATCCTATAGCATTCTGGCTGTGAGCACATGCACACCTGAGTCAGAATCTGGGTGCCATCCCATATTACCCATGTGGCTCTGGGCCACTTAAGTTCTCTAAGGCTCAGTTTTCCGGCCATGGGGACAAAGGCTACAAACAATGAGACTACTGAAGCACATAGAAAGGAAATGGTAGACAGACTCTGCTGTAGCAATGTGTATTCTGCATTTACTATGTGCCAGCACTGCGACACACACTTATTCTCTGGTTAGTCCTCATACCATCCTAGGAAGTGCCATCCAGAGGATACTGCCAAAGGGCTTTCCTGGGGTTCAGTGGCTTACCCAAGGGCACTCAGCTAAGTCTGTGCCACCTTGGGGCTTAAACATTTGCAACAATCCAAGTCCAGAGTTCATTTTTAGATTCTCTATGTATATACAAATACCTTCTCACCTAGCTCAGTGCTTCCAAAACCTAGTTGTCTTTACAGCACAGGTCAGAGATCCCCTCTTCCACCAAGCCTTTCCCATTTCCACAGCTAGGACTCTCTTCTCTAAACTACACTTCTTCCCAATTCTTTCTCCTTGTAACTCATGACAATCATCACATCCCCTCTGGCTTTACAGTTGGTGTACATCTAACTCCCACTGTACATTGTTAGACTGCTAAGAGGGAATCCCAGGGCTCTGCATGTAACTCACTCTCCCACAGTACTTCACTGAGTCTTGTGGTATATACTGAGTAGCTGTTTAGGGAGGGAGGGAGGGAGGGAGGGAGGGAGGGTCTAGGCTATCCAAGAACTTATGGGTGTGGCTTTTATTCCAAGGGCAGCAGGAAGCCATTATACATTTTGAGCGAAAGAATTAATGTGCACAGAGAGTCATAAGATAATTGCAATAGGCTAGAACAACATCCTTCTTTATTAAGAGAAATAATAGTGAGACTTTTAATGCTGAAAAGAATGAACAAAACAATGCAGAGGTATGCCTTGGAAAACCTTCCTCTGAGGAAATGTAATGCTAGCTAGTGAGTCAACAGAACCTGCAAATGAGGATGCACTCTTAAGCCAAATACATTAAGCTATTCAAATAGAACACATAAGATGGAGAGTCAGTTTTCTTTAAGGGTGTGATGCCAGGTAGGCTGACCACGCTCCAAGTTATCGACCCACACCCAAGCACATTTGGGGAACACAAATTAGACTTGATAGGTTTTAAAAAATAAAGGGCATGAAATAAAGAGATTAGAGAGGTAGAGGTAAATCTGAAAGGAAGACAGGGGAGGGTCTGAATATGATCAAAATACATTTCATGAAATTCTCCAAGAATCTATGAAAATAGTATTAAAAAATAAAACTAAATAAAATCTTTTTTTAAAAGATAGGATGATCCAACACCCAAGAAGCTCTCATTGTCAAAGATCCTCTGTTTAGTGAAGTAAGGGAGTCTTTCTCCTCTAACAAAGGAGCTTTCTATCTTCCCAAATCCCAGGCGTGACTCTGCCTTCTCACTTTACACCAAGGGATATTACCCTTCTGCATAGATCCCACCCCATTCTAATAGGCAAACACTTTCAGATGTCTATTATCCATTAACTTTTCAATTCCTCCCTCTTAAAAACAAATAAAACAACTCTCGGTCAGTCAATCTCTCGCTTACGTCAGTCCTCAGAGTACTCCATTGTTACTTCTTAAGGTACCTGCTAATTTCACTCTGCTCTGAATTATGGCCCCTGGCACTGATCTCAACTAAGAGGATCTGGTGTACTTCACTCTGGGTACTCCAGAGCCTACACAGGGCCACCTGTGTGCTGTGTATTTAACAGTATTTGGAAGTTAAATACTAGAGCTACAAGGGACAGCAAAAGAACACAGGTTTGAGGTTAAGCCACAAGTGGTTTGAATCCAGGCTATGGGAGAGTCACTTGACTTTGTAAGCCTCCATTTTCATCACCTGTAAAACAGTGATATTAATATCATGTTGCTTCTATTCTTGTAAACATTACCAGAAGCTCACGTAGAACATACATAGCATAGTGCCAACACATAGCACTGCCCCACAAATGGTAGAATAAGTGAAAAAGCACCAAACTAAGACCTTAAAATCCCAACTTCCAAACCCAGCTTCCCCACAGGGTGCTCTAGATCAGTCACGTGTTCTCCCTGAGACTCTACTTATTCGTGAGTGTAGGAATTTTGGAAGGATCAAAATAAACATCAGCAAATAGAAGGCACTTAACAAAGTGCCCCTCCTGCTGCAAATTTCCATTAAAATGCCCATCCTGAATATTATTAGTGCTTTCCTCTTTTTCCATCTTCTAGCAACACCTGCCAGCCAGTGCTAACAACAAGCAAATCAGCTGTACAACACTGGCCCTATTTCTCCCTTGAGTCTTGCTTAGCTATAGTCTGGGAGATTCTGGAAGTGAGGAGAGAAATCAATGTTACATCAGTGAATCATCATTTATGGCCCTGTTTCTGAGCTGCTTCTTAAAGCAATGAACTCCCTGACATGGAGACAGCCGAGGAGCACAAAACCGGTCAGTGAAACGGGCTATTGTAGTGAGAAGTAGGATTCACACACATCGAATGGAGAGAAGTGAGTCACCACTAAGCCATCTCCCCTCCCCCTCGGAAGTCTGCGATTCAGTGTGCAGTAGCACAGAGTGGGGACAGACCATGTGACATATGACGTAGGCAAACACTGAACAGTTCTTCCATTTCTATAGCTATACATAGGGATCTGTAACTGTTCTGGTCATGTGTGCTGAGGCAGAAGCTCCAGCTGCAGGACACTACATGGGAGAAACTGGCCGTTAGGGTCCTAACACTGTACCCCAGAATATAAGGCTGCACTTTACCTGTTATTGCAAAACACTGTTTTTATAAGATGTCACCTCAAAACAGTTTTGGAAATGGGTACAGATTAAATAAATAAATATTTGAAATAAGACCATAGAGAAAATCATCTTGAAAACCTGTCATTCTCTCCACAAACTATCAATCTTACATTTCAAATTTTTCATAAATTATTGTACTACTTCAGTTACAGCATTTGAACTATTTACACTCACAAAAGTCTCTAATATTAGTGGAAATAAACCAATACACACTAACAGGTTTTTTTCCCCCAAATTGGTTTGGTTTTATGCATAACCTCAGAAAGTATCTATAATACTAAGCTCTTCAAAAATGGCCCAGGCAGCAGTCAACAAAAGCCAGAGTGAGATCTTGACCTCTAACTTTGTAGTTTTTAATCAGCTTCCCTGAACCATTCAGACTTGACTCCAGGAATTTCTCATGATGGCTCAGGTTCAATAGAAATCTAGTCTGTATATACATATTTCTCTCTCTCTCTCTTTCTCATCCTGAGGGCCTGTGTCAAGACTTGAGGATTCTGCCACACCTTCCAATATCAAAAAAGCATAATTTTCCCTCCTTATTCTGAAGATACATTTTTTTTGGCTTTATTGTATTACTCCTAATCCTCCTGCCTCTACCTTCCCAGTGCTGGATTACAGATGTGCACCATCATGCCTGCCTCCCAATTCTACAAAACAGTGATCCACTCATTCTTATTCCTTCTGCCTAAAGCACTGCTAAGGGACAGAAGCCCACCAGGGCTGAGACACCTACCTCCCAGCACCTCGCAGTCACTGTCCATGCTGTCATGAACACCAGCAAAGATGTTGGCCAGGGTGGACTTGCCCACCCCTTGCTCCCCTATAAGCACCACACGGTAGTAGGTGTTTCCTGACTCAGAAGAGATGACGGAGTCTGTGGAGTCAGAGGACCAGCTGTGGCGACAGTGGTCTTCAGGAGTGATGGAGTAGCGGTTGCGGGGGTTGCACTGATGAGGCTCCTTCTGGACCATCAGGTGCCTTCCATCGGCAGGGATGCTCCAACGCTGCTGTGGCTGCATGCCTACAGTGCCCTGGCGCATGGTAACATTATTCAGAGTCATTGTGGGGTCCTAGGAAGCAAAGCAGTCAAGATGCCCACATTAGTAAGCATGCACTAGACCTCAGGGGTCTCAAACACCGTCAGTCACCAGTAATATTTCATTAGATGGATATGAACTAAGCAAATATTTCTAATATGAGGAACACCAATGAAACGGTCTCCAAGCCCTACCAAGCCAAGTTTTCAACTGGACACACGCACACATGCACACACACACACACACACACACACACACACACACACACACACACACACACACACACATTTAGTAACCAGTGTCTCAGGCAGACTATCACTCGCACAAAGGAAAAAGTACCAGTAACATTTCCCATTGCCCATCAGCTTCTTCCATCCTCAAAGTAGCCTTGGAAACCACACTGGGAGCTGGCCCAGGGGCAGCTGGAAGGACCTCTGCCACCAGAGATGGCTTGATAACCGGCAACAAGTCAGCACTACTGGGGACCAGCTGGTCAGGTTAGTTGCTCTGGTCTAAACATGGATCTTAATTGCACCAGCGTCTTGCAGTCTTTTGTGCCTCAGTGGGAAACACGTGGCAATGACATCACTCCCCTGGCCACACTGGACAGGCACTTTGGGGAACTTCCATGTTTAGTAAAGTTGCCCTGATGGTCTCCAACTGCCTGAAGAGACCATTATTTGGGGAGTGGGGGCAGTCTCTGAGGTTCTTCAGCTCTGCCCTCTTGCCCCCAGATACCAGAATTAACATCCCAGACCCTAGCCTAGTCATTCCGACAGGGGAAAGACCTGCTACACTCAGACACATCAAGCTTGCAGAGAAAGTACTTCACTCGTATCAAACTCCGTTCATTCCGAGATTTCTTTAATTATCTCAGATTTCCACCTTCTGGGAACAAATCAGAAAGCCAAAGACGCAGGGAAAAGGCATTCACCAACTTCTTACAACTTCCACTTTGCAAGACTGCCTCCTCTGACTCTGTTTTCCCGGCTGCTCAAGAGAACGCAGAAGCATCCACATTTCAATCAACAAGCACCACGCGTGAGAAAAGCACACAGCTCACCCCCTACTCCACACCCCAACGCTTCGGCCACTAGCCAGGACCAACAGCCGGTTTCTTTTTGCGTCTTCAAAGTAGCCCTTTCCTTGACAGACGTGCAAGAGAGAGCCTGCCTCCCCCCGTCACCTAATCTGTGGGAGATGACACTCCTCCAGGACCGAACTAAGGAACCTGCCGATCAGAAGCGCATCCTTTGCACCTGAACTTCTTTCCTGCATCCCAAAACCCCAGCACCGACACACGGTCCAGAGGCCGGTTGTCAACTTAGAAAGTTCCGCTGCCGGGAACGCCCCCTCCCTGCCGCGGCTTGGGGACACTCCCTTACTTGGCTGGACCCCGGCTGTTGGGTGGATATCTGCGCGTTGCTCGCCTGTGATGCCGGATCCACGGAGCCGCTGTCCATACCACTGCTTGCAGCTGCACCGAGATTTATAAGGCGCCCGCCAACCCAGGATGGGGCTTTTCCGTGACGTCAGCACTCCCGCCGGGAGGGGGCGGCTCTGCAGCAAACTCCAGAGTTGCAGCCCCTTGGCTATATCAGTTACTTGCAGTCATGTGAGTCCCCTCGCCCTTTTAGGGGGAAAAATAAAATGATAATTCAATCCTTGTCCTCGTTGATTTTGTTTTATTTTATTTTTATCAGGTGGACACTGGAAAAAATAGACTTAGAGCTGCTTAATCGCCCTTCCCAGCAGGGCACTTGTGAGCTGTCGAGATAAAGGATGGAGAAAGAGACAGGTTTGAGTTGCGAGTTCAGCTTTGCCAAGAAAAGAGAGATCCGCCTGGGTGAGAGAGACCTTAGCCCCAACCTGGGGCTGCAGCCTGTTTTACAGCTGCTTGGAGTGGCAGACAGTCTCCTCCTGCCTCCTGTAGTCTCTCTCTGGATTGGGGAGAGAGGGAGCCCCAGGCTGCTTCGTTTTCTTCTTCTGGCAGGAACCCAAAAAGAAGGGGCCAGAGGAAAAGGCTCGGGAGACACTGCCGCCCTGCCGTTCTGGCCCCAGGGCTGAGACTCCTCAATCAGAAATTTAATCACATCCCAATTGCGCATCTCAGAACCAGGCTGGCTGGCATGGCTGGGCCTGTGGCCTGGAGCCAGAGCCATAGGAAGAGTCCTGTGGGTGAAGGGCACAGGACCAGAGCTGCCACTATATTTGCTAAGATTTCCAAGGACCTGTGGTTCTGGTGGGTCTGGGGAACCTTGCTCCTCTCTGCAGCTGTGAATAGACTGCTACCACACTGTGTGGAGGAGGGAAATGAGGCACTTCAAAAGAACCTGCCAAGGTCAGGGGTTGGTGGTAGGGGCAGCATTCAGAAGCTGGTTTGCATAGCTCCTGCACTGCACCACCAAGTGACCCCTTCCCTAGGACATGGGTATTTTCCAGGGAGAGGCATTTCCCAGATGTCATGTTTAGAGATGCTTGCTAGTCTTTCCAACATATCCATCTGCTTTTCCAGCCAGTTTCAGTTCCGAGTTGGCTGGGGGCTCCCGGAAGCAGCCAGCAACACCAGTGTCTATTGGAGTGGCTGGACCACTCTGTGATTACAATGGATTCTCAATTCTCCTTCAGGTATCTGATTTGGGAATTATCTAAGTGACCAGATGCCTGTCAGGTACCAAGCTGGCAAAGGTAGAATCCACCAGGTAATGAAAACTTAGAGCACCTTCATCTCAGGGGTCTAGCCCCAATCTTATTTATACATAAGGAAGCTAAGAGCCAGACGGATGAAGGCCACTCAATGAGACGGCCAAGGTAGAACTGCAGTCTGGGCATCATAATGCTATGGACACAGCCTTTCATCCATTATTATTTTCCTCAGGATTAACCAGGTGGGAAGAGATGCAGATGCAGAAAACAGGGAAAGGGAGGGGAGAAGGAAGGGAGGAGTGGGACATAAATCCCCAAGGGCATATCCAAGGGGATATCTGTGAATTATCTGCATTTGAGAATTTTCCATGCTTTATCCTCCCCAAGTCTCTTACTCTGTCAACTATCTCAACAAAAACAGTATGGGGTGAAAACTAATGACTTGGAGTTTATAAGCATGTCACATGGTCTTTCAAGTCTATTTCTGCACACTGATAAGACTCTTGCATAGGGAGCTGGGGAGATGGCTTAGTGGGCAAATGTCCTGCTGTGTACGCTGAGTTAAGATCCTCAGCACCCACATAAAAGTTAGACAAGAGGGTACATGCCTGTAACCCCAATGTTGGAGGGCAGAGACAGGTAGAATCCAGGCACTCGCTGGTGGGCTAGTCTAGCCAAATAGTGAACTCCAGGTTCAGTAAGGGACGCTCTTTCAAAAATTGTGGTGAGGAGCCATAGCAGACATAGGAAGAGTTGTTCTCTGGCCTTCACCTATCATGCACAGGCAAGTACACACACACACACACACACACACACACACACACACACACACACACCAAAGCCTCACATTAATAAGAATCCAACTGTATGTCCTGGAAATATCTACTATGAACCGTTTCTATTGGCATATGTAAAACACTCCAAAGAAAATGAACCCTAAACATTGGGGAGGGAGGAGACACAGCGTGTTTGAATAAAAAGATCCGCCTTTTTAAATTTTCTGTGCCACATGAAGCCAAATGAGGACAAATGGGAAAGCAACATAAAACAAGTTCCAACTGAATGACAGTCAATTAGAGTGAATATTTAGAAAAAAAAATCATAGTTGCAGCTCACCAAAAGCACTTTTGAGAGCCAAATCTTATCCATAAGAGTCCCAGCGACTGCCCAGGATTCCAGTTCCCTGGGACCATCTGAGGGTATAAAGCTGGGCAGAAAAGGTAGACTCAGGGCATTTGAGCAAGTGGCAAGCTCTGAAGAGAAATTGGCAGAATCCTGTTGATTCTTGTTCTATAAACTGTGTTCTATGTATTCTTTATGACAGCATTTGAATGCTTTGTGAGATCCTAGCTGGAATAATCATTAGCTCAAGTCTAGCAAAGAAGCAGAACTTAAGCAACAAAATCACTCACCTTTTCTGAACAATCACCTGCCTTATCTCTTTAACCCTTACTACCACCTCCTGCAGTTACTCAGCTTACAGAGGGAAATGCTCTCCAGTAGCATAATCACACTCCACAGGTGGCACAGTGTGCTCTCTGGATCTGGTCTTCACCACAGTTTTATTTCTAGAGGGCACATACAGCCCACACTAACCCCACTAGTCCTAGGGGAACTAGACCAATTCCCTCCCCAACTCCCTCAAAAGAAAAGTACCACAGATAGTCAAAGCCTAAGACCTTCCCCAAGCCACATTTCCCCAGTGGGTGAGGCTTCTCTTCTCAAAGGCATGAGACACAATTTTCCCTCTCTTCTCCAGGTCCCCAGCCCTGAATATGAAGGTTAACTTGGGGTCTCCTAGGGCCTCTCCGTGTTACTGTGACTGTCTTTCTGTCAACTTGTGGACTTGGGAAGCTACTTCCAATATCTCAAGTGTGATGAGAGAGGGAGGAAAGAGATGGAGGAAGAACAGAACCTTTGATTGGGGATGTGAATAAGGGTATGGGATGTTGGGGATTGGAATCTCATAACCACTGATATACAATTACCTTGAAAACTAAGGAAGGAGAGGCAATGGGTAGGCCCAGGGTCCATACATGCCTGGAACTATAATACCACTCCAAAGTTTGCTTTATTCTCAAAGCAATCGAAGCATTTACTGACCTTTAACATAGGCTTACTACAAGCAAGATAGTACTACTGCTGTCATGCAGTAAAAGCTATTCAGTGGCAAAGGGGGCACCATGAAAATGCTCTCCATTTCCCACCAACAGCCAAGTAGTCTATCGACTAGCACTGAGTAGAGGATAACACAAAGGGGTTTCTTTTCTTCCTATTCATTGCCTTTTAAATGATGTATTGGTTAGCTGTCTGTTACTATAACAAAATAGCTAAGGTAATTAGCTTACAAAGAGAAAAGGTTGGTTTGGGCTCATGGTTCTGGAAGTTCATAGTTCAAGATTGGGTGGTCCCATTTGCTTTAAGCCTTTAGTAGGGCAACATTATCATGTGGGAACAGGTGGCAGAACTAAATCAGCTAACATCAAAAGCCAGAAAACATGGAGAAACACTAAGAGACTAGTGTTCCTCCATCCCCTTCAGTGGCATGTCCCAGTGATCTCAGGGTTTTGCTTTAGGCCCCATACCCTAAAGGCCTGACCTGCCTACTAATGGCACCACCTGGGGATTTCTTGGGAGCCTGACAATCTCTCTGTCAGACACTAAGCCTTTATTTAACACATGGACTTCAGGGGTCTTTCAACATCCAAACTATAGCAAATTCATTTAGCCAAGGCATGCACCAATCCTTAATACAGTTGACTCCAATCAGCTTCTCCCATTCACATTGGCTACCTGTGCCCTGAAGACATGTGTGATCCCAACATAGGCTGAAAGAAGAGGCAAGGGATTTAACATCAGAAAAGCAAAATCAAACTAGGTCCTGCCTCTAGTCACATGACACTGGGATGTCACTGAGCCCCAGAGACTTGTGTTTCTGCTGCTCTGAAGACTGACTGTGGAAGTACTTGTTACCCACAGAGCACAGTTCAGTGTGGTGATTACGACTGTGATGCAGGAGCCAAGGATTGGAGCTCAGCCACCTGCCCTGGGTTTTGCTGCCTCTTCAGGCTCCAGTTAAATTAATACAGCAGAATTCAGGACATACGAGATGGCCGGATGAAGGGCAGCAAATAAGGCTCCCGTTAGATGTTACTAGGAAAAAATAATTAGCAAAAGAGTGGTCTGGATATGTTCTTTGTAAACAAACAAGGAGATGGGGGTCAAATACTCAGCACACATAATAGGTGTCCATCAGCCACAAAAATACTCAGGGGAGGAGCTGGGTGGGAGGCAATGTGCAAAACCTGAGCACAAAAGGAACCACCCACCCACTCTGGGAAGCCTAAAGAAGGAAAGAATTACTATACGGAAAATCATTGCTTTACAGAAGGAAGGGGGAGTGCCAGTTGCACAATCAAGAGAGCCCTGATTAAGAGAAAATAAAGACTGAAGATGACTAAGAATAACCTCTCAGCACCCAGAGGCCTCCAGGGTCCAGATGGACAGCCCCTCCAGCTGCATCCCCTTCAGACCAGCCCCCTCCTTCTCATCAGACTCCCGCTGAGACTTAATTTCCCATTGAAAAAATTCTTAGCTAGCACCCCTCCACTACTCCATCATCAGGCCAGCCTGCTGCAGGCCTCCATGGCTACAGTGGCGGAGCTAACAGGGTCTTCATTAACCCTGTAGAGTGAGAGCAGAATGCAACTCAGAGAGGGAGGCAGGGGCCTGGAGAGAGCAGACATTCATCGTTTCAACAACAAAACCTCTCTACAAAAGGAGTTGGAAATACGGGACTGGAGGATGAAGTGGGGAAACAGGGCATGCCCACTAGGTTCTCGTACCCACGGGTGGGAGCCAAAGCTCCATTGGCTACTTTGGTGGT